TGGTAAACATTATAATATCCTACCACTTGCACTCTCCATATCAATTCCTCACTTTATTTTTCTCCATGGAATTTATCACCACTTATAATACTACATATTGATGTGTTTAGTAATTTTTACTGTTTACCTTGCCTTATCAGGCTGTTAAATTCTATGAGGGCAAAGATTATCTATTTTGTATACTCTTTATCTCTAGTTGCTCTAAGAATACTTGGTGCCTAACTTATGCTCAATAAATATTTGTTGAATGAATTAATAAATAAATACTTTGAATGTAAAATAGTCATTGTGAGGAAGAGAGGTTAAGAAATAGAGCCACTTTGCTTATCTTCAAGGAAAATAACATATGGAATCAAAAAGAGAAAGTTTCAGAACAGCTTAAAAAATCATAGCTTTAGTCAGATGTTGGAAGTCCAAGGAAAAGGAAGTTCGGTTGCTTTTAAGGAAGAAGCATAGCAACACAGTAGAAACAAAGAAGAAAGATAGTAAAATTAAGAAACTGAGCATTTGCTGTAGTGGCAGCAATTTCTAATAAGTGTTGGTTGTTGAAATGCTTTAAATACAACTTTATAATTCTCCTTGCAAACTGCCTAGCGGCATTAACATTCATTTATTTATTAAATATTTAATGTTAATTCATCTATTAAATATATATTAACTATTTCTTTACTACCTACAATATGCTAGGCTATTCAGCATATCAAAAGAGAAAACAGAGGACAATTAACCTATGCATAATAGGTGAAACATAATCAATGAGAAAGACTGAACTATGAGATTATCCCAGATCCTAGCAAACTGCTATGATTCTTAATGTGATTAGCTGACAAAACTCAAATTATTTGTTTACTTATAATCAATAACTATATGTCTACTTTAACTGCTTGGAAATCATATTATATAATATGCAAGGTTTTTAACGTAAATGCACTTGTTTTGGCATTCACACTTATTTACGATTCTAAAATTTCTTCAGGATGAATTAAGGTGTGACATGTTGCAAGGGTCATGGAAAGTATAGATAGTGAGGAGAGACTACAGTAGGCAATAATCATGACTAAAAGCTGAAAGTATGATGCATTAATGCTGAAGAAATGTCATTAAAATACCACCAAATGAGGGGAAGGGGAAGGCTTCTACAATTAGATATTTGTGGGGAAAAAAATCACTTTGGCTCACATAACTGGATTTTCCATCAAGTTCAGCATATATAGTTACTAATTACATTTAAGATAGGAACAACTTTATTAGAATAAAATAGGATAATAATAATTCAATCTAAAATTAATCCAAACATAAGTTTATTGGTTTATGGTGAAAACACAGACTATCTACTCACCTTCTTCATTTCCGGAAACAATGGAGTACACAATACTTTGATTGATGGCTGCAGCAGAAATTACACCAACCATGGTCCCTCTGGTTGCAAGTTCACTTACTGGAGGAGGTCTGCAGTTGTAGAGAAGATGATTTATTGATTTTTAAAGACTATTTTTAAAGGCAACTTTAGGTTCACAGAGAAATTGAGAGGAAGGTTAGAAATTTCCCATATACTCTCTGTCCCAACACATGCATTGTCTCTTCCATTGTTAATACCCACATTGTTATATTTGAGGCAATAGATAAATCTATTGACACATCATAATCACACAAAGTTCATAGTTTACATTAGGCTTTCCTCTTGGTGTTGTACATTTTATGGGCTTGGAAAAATGTATAATGACATGCATCCACTATTATAGAATCATATAGAATATTCTCATTGTCCTAAAAATCCTCTGTGCTCTTGCCATTCATCCTTCCCTCAATCCAGCCCTTGGAAACCACTGAACTTTTTACTTTCTCCACGGTTTTGCTTTTTCCAGAATCTCATATAGTTAGAATCACATATTATGTAGCCTTTTCTGATTGGCTTCTTTTACTTAGTAATATGAATTTAATGTTCCTCTATGTCTTTCCATGGCTTGATTAGCTCATTTCTTTTTGTGCTAAATAATATTAATTGGCTTCTTTTACTTAGTAATATGAATTTAATGTTCCTCTATGTCTTTCCATGGCTTGATAACTCATTAGCTCATTTCTTTTTGTGCTAAATAATATTGCATTGTCTAGATTGTACCACAGTTTATTTCCATAAATGAAGATATATTGTTTGCTTCCGTGATTTGGTAATTATGAATAAAGCTGCTATAAACATCACTGTGCAGGTTTGTGTGTGACCATAAGTTTTCAACTCCTTTGGTTAAATACCAAGGAGCATGATTGCTGGACTGTATAGTAAGACCATAGTTACCTTTGTAAGAAACTGACAAACGTCAGTTTCTTCAGTCTTCTAAAGTGGCTTTACCACTTTGTATTTTCTCAAGCAATGGATGATGAGAGCTAAGTAAAAGAAGCCAGTCAGAAAAGGGTACATAACACATCCTCACCAGGATTTGGTGTTGTCAGTGTTCTGAATTTTGGTCATTCTAATAAGTGTGCAGTGTTTTTTGTTGTCGTCGTTGTTGTTGTTTTTTTCTTTTTTATCATCTATTGTATAATGATTGGGTATTGAATTTAATAATAGAATGTGTTAAGTGTTATGTGTGTCTTTATTTGAATAGTACTATTATCTGAAATTTTCAAGGAAGTACCATTTTTAGGCTCCAGCCCTAACAACCTGTGTTCAATATTATGTAAATACACTTGGTTAAGAATGTGTTATCAGCCACATTATTTTTAATTGTGTCATATGTCATACAGAATTCTTTTCACTTGTCTACAAAGCACCAACTGGACTAAAATCAATATATGGATACAATTTTCTACCTCAACTTGCTAAAATTAAACGTTGCTCTTGTGTTGTTGATTTAACATATCTAAGAAAATGGTTTTCACATGTTTTTTCTAGCCCTTATTCCTGACTTACTGCAAAGCCTAACTGTATCAAAAGTATTTGAATGAACAAAAATTCACATTTCCTTTGAATTCACTTATTTTGCTTAAATATAGCCATATTATGGCCCTAGAATTATGGTATCTACCTAATTTCAAAAATGTATTTTTAACAATACATTATTTTATTTTCAAAATATCAGTTTTATTTTTATAATATTGGTTACTATAACTAGGCTATTATAACTTTATCTTCATAAATTAATACCAAATGATCTCTTCTAGAATTCACATGTATTTTGTCATCCCTCTGCAGTAGATTCAGAAAGTTATTAAATACAAGATCTTAACCACATCTCTAGATCTTTTTCTAGTCTAGTCCAGTCAACATCACGCATCTGATTTCTGTAAACTTTAGATTCTATTCTTAAGTTGATAAGACAAATCCCATTGCCATTTCTGTCACGTTTTTTTAGTATCCTTTTCATATTACCTCTAATTTTTTCTCCATCCTTTCAGTTCTTCTATTCTAAATTTCATTGTGCAATTACATTGTGCTTTCATTGAAACCATTTATAACAAATCTTGAACTGCAAATATAGTCTGAAAAATTAATTGTGTACAACTCTTTATAAACATCTGGTACAAACCACTTGGTTTTGTTTGTTTGTTTTGTTTTGTTTTGTTTTGCCACTGTAGTTCATATGCTTGGCTTATTAGGTTAACTGAATGCAAGGCGATCTCTCTTACAGATTTTCTAGCACTTATTGACAGTCTGTATATTCATTGCATGCCTAATAACTATTTCTTTCTAAAGAATAAGGACCAAACTATATCATTTTTAATTAAAATAATTAAGTAGATATTTATTTATTTAACTTATTTAACTTATATAATTTATTTATTTATTTTACTCCCATGTTTACTGCCTTCTTTTGATAACAACATCCAGATATTGTTTTGGATAATCATGCCTCCTCCTTTCTCAGTCTAAGTTGTTTAAGTAAGGCTGACCCAATCCCAGAGTGTCTATATGGATAGACACATTACTCATCTCTGACTAATAAGGACACTTTATCCTTTGCTCAGTGTTCATGTGTGGTATATGTTTCATGCAAAACCAATAAAATTCTTATCCATAACTTTTATTGTAATTATTAGAAAATAAAAGTATTCTCTTTATTTTTGCTAGAATTTTAATATTGGTAACCTAAGAGAGGGTTCTTTTTGATAATACCAACACCAATAAATGAGCAAAAGGTTGAAAATAGATCCACTGTACTTTGACTAGTATTGTAAATACAGCTATACCTAAAGACAAGGAGGTTCATTTCAGTTGCTGAGACAATAAATTATCTTTTATTTCTCCTTTATCTAGGATCTCTATCACTTCCAATCAAGAGTCTCAACTAATTAAAATAATTGTTTAGATTAGAAAATTATACAGTTTGCCTAGGTAGATCTTTCTAAAGTGATGTATTTATAACACAATTATATTCCATAAGCAATTTATCTAGACATTATCATAGTGTTGGTTCACTGAAAATCAGGATGTCATAGGTCAACTTTCACCTAAAATAATAGAAGTCTACCCCCAAAAGGAAGGCACTTAGAAAAGTGACACTAGGTTAGTTTTGATGGACTGCTTTGATTATGTACAGATAAATTTTTGTCCAATATTACAGATTACAAAGATACATTAAGACTATTTGCTTCTGTCACATTGCTTATTGGATGACCATGGTGATTTTAAATCATTGAACCTGGAAAGATTTAAAATTAGAGAGCTATAGAAATAAGCTGGGGCAGAGTCCCAAGAGGGGCCTCAATTATCTCTCCATCCTTGTCTTCCTGCACTTGTGTATTTCTCTCCTCTTGCTTGAAGGTCACATCACAACTTGGTTCTGACCAAGAGAATAAATACTGCACAATTACCTCAGTGATTACATTACATAAGACTGTAACTTGTAACTTTAGTAGTGCTGGAAGACTCTCTGACTTATCCCTTGTTGAATTTGATGAAGTGAGCTGCCATATAGTGTAGTCTACAAGGCAAGAAACTGAAAGTGAAGCCTGACTAATAGCCAGCAAGGATCTAAGGTCCTCAATTCAACTTCCCACAAAGAACTGAATCCTGCCACCAATCACTTGAGCTTGGAAGTGAACGCTTCTTTCACTGAATCTCAGATGAGATTCTAGCCCTGGCCAACCGTTTGATAAAAACCATGTGTAAAATCATAAAACAGAGGACACAGCTAACCCATGCCTGGATTCCTGACCTACCGAAACTTTAAAATGGTAACATGTCATCTGAACCCATTAAGTCTGCATTAATATTATTACACTGCAATAGGTAGCTAATAAACATGCCTTAGATATTAGAGCAATGAATTGTTAATTGTCTTATGTCAGATCAAATTACATACATCTTTTCAAAACGTTCAACATAAGAAAAGATATGTTAGTCATATTCTCAGATAATTTTTCAAAAACTGAAATCTTTTATGTGGAAGTAGACATTGCTTAAATTTGTCTATTTTGTTAGTGTACACATGAAGTAAGAGTTAATTTTTTTTACTTTCCATAGTTAATCTGTTTACTCCTTCTTATAAAGTACAGAAATATAATGATTGCAACTAATACACCTTTAGCTTTAGCTTTAACGTTAGAAAAATGCCATTGCATTTTGAACATTAAAAATAATATTTTGTGTGCATTTTTGCTACCTCAATTCTATGATCAGGATGAAAATAATTAATACTGGAAAAAATAACTGGCATAATATACGAAGACATTTATATCCTATGCATACCACTAAACACACTTAAAATTTTATTTGTTAGTAAATGTTTGCAGCAGAATTACTTCTAGACTAAATATCTTCTCACTAACCTTTGTGTTAATTGTTCCAGCACACTTCTTTCTACCAGAATCAAAACATACTATAAAAATGCAATTTTCTCCTGACTAGAATTAAATGAGCCTCTATGATAACGTGTATTAGATTACAAAATCTCAATTCGTTTTTATTTATTGCCGGGAAGAACCAATTTTATTATTGTTTTATGCCCTAGAAAATACCAGTTACATGACTGAGTCAAATTACATACTCTCTTTGGAGGTACATGTGTGTTGAATACGAAATAAAGGAGTTGGTATACATCAGGATACTTAAAGACAAATGGACAGAGAAGGTAGAAACAACCAAATTGAATAAAGTGGGCTGGGTATAAATTAAGAGAAAGAGGAATGGAAATAAGAAATTAGATACTGCATAACTACTATGCAATAATGCAAGTCCAGTGTGATTTTTCAATAGACAAATGAAATTAAATTTTTTTATGTGAATTCTATAAACTTTAAAATTTTTATAGCCTTTAGAAATTTATTTTTTAAAAGCAGTAGGTGACTAGATTTGATTTCTAGCCACATGGTTTATGATTTTTAGAGTAGATAAATGATTTCTAATGTTTTACAGTTCAACCGTTCTGAGTCTTATAAAATGTGATTTATCATTACCTCTTTTCTTTCTAATGAGTACAATCAAAATCTATTGCTAAATTTCAGAAGCAATT